GCTGCCCAGGCCTGGGAGTAACAGCCCTCTCTCCCTGGAGATGAGGGCATGCACTTCTCTTTCCTTTCTTGGGGACCCATACTTGGGTTTCACCCCACCTGTATCAAATATCTGTTACATGCCAGGAGCAGGGCTGGGGGCCAGACACGCTGAGTGGAAGAGGGGACCCTCGGGGACTTGGAGCCCTGCATGATGATTAGGTCTACCAGGGTAGGCCTTAGGGGGACGGGCAGTGTTGCCCTGGCCCTGTGGGTGGTCACCTCAGTGAGAACTCGATGTCTCACCTGAGAAAGGAAGAGGGGCAACTCGGAACTGAGTCACCCATCCATTGTCCCAGCTGCCTTGTCATAGCAATCCTGGGGACAGGCTCACTGGTAGTAGTAACAGTATCAAGAGAACAAATTGAGTTTCTGCATTCTTTTTTGAACATGTTTTTGCTTTAATGACAATTTATAGTTTATTTGTATCATTATTGATTCAAGGAGGAAAAGAAGTCATTTTTCCTAACTCCAAGAGAATCTGAACCCTATCATACTTGTTGAGTTCATTCTAACAAGATCAGTAAAGTCAGTGTTAGTGGATTAAATATTTTAAAACTCAATTTCCTATAAGCAGCATACAGTGAATAAATAGAATTTTCTATAGCAAATATAAACAAGCAAGGTAGTCTCAAGATTAAAGGTTATATTAGCACCTAACTATTGTTCTTGAAGCAGCATTGCCCAGGAGAGGATGTGATAAACAAGCTACTTGCTTTATGAAAAGGTACAGAACACGAACAACTCTGACAAGAAAGGACCTTCACCTCCAGTGTGGCTGATGTTCACGTTTAAGATAGTTTTAAGTATTTGCCAGCGTTTATGCATGTCTCTTTAACAAAGCATAAAGGCCAGCCAGGGCATTCTCATAGCCTCACGACAAAACACAGTCATTTCTCTCTCAAGGTCTCTGCTGTTAAAAACTTGTATCCCTTGGTGTTAGCTTTTTTTCATTTAACAAAGGGTGAATTCAGTATTTTGGGGATTCATTTTTTTCAAACTACAAGAGCTCCCTTTTGTGGTTTGCTACGTGCTGTCCTACGTTGTCGCCCTCCCGACAGCCTTGCCTTTATGAGGGTGTGCAGCTCGGCAGTGAAGGGACCTGCCCCAGGTTTCCCTGCTGGAAGTGGCAGAGTGGGGGTGGGGCCCGGCTCTGTGTGACTCTCAACCCCTCTGCTGTGCCACCTCCTGCTGTGAACATGGTGCCAAATGCTGACAGCTGGGTCCTGATTTTTGAGCCACAGTCTTGTCCTAGATGCCCATACCTAGCAGAATTTACTCCTTTAGGTGTCTGGAAGCTCATCTAGAAATTTAAAAACCTTTTAGTTTTGGACTCTTAGCAAAGAAATATGGTAAAGGCTTAGTTATTATAAGTACAAGGCGGAAAAAGATATGAACTACAGTCTTTCTTCTAGCTGGAAAATTTTAGTACTTGAAAGACATGGATGCTATCTCGGTCTCTTTAGGGGGTTCAGGAAGAATAACATTCAGAAATACATTTTTTTGTTTTAGTTCAGTCATCATCTTTTAGCAGCCCAGTGCTCATTTCTCCTCTTGTCTATTCTCTCCATTGTTGGCAAGACTTTATCACTGCACTTTTTGAAAAAAATGTGGCCAATTCACTGCCACTTCTGAAATAAGCATATGGTTACATGCTATGGTCCAAGAAGCAGGGAAAACATTTTCTCCTGGTAGGTAGGGTTTGTTTTTCCTTTCGGACTTAAGGTCTGGTAGTGAATCCCAAAGAAGAAGTCGTCAGTAGGCAATTGTCTCTGTCAGGGGAAAAGACTCCCCGCCCTTCGGGGCCTCCTCAGGGGTGTGGGGGCAACAGCAGCATCTGTGTGCTCCTGCTCCTCAAGAGGAGGTGCTGGTGGTCCCCGCCTGAGGCTGGGGCTGCACACATGATGCCCTCCCCTGGGTGTCCCCCAGGGCTGCTCCGAGGCCGCATGGGCAGAGGAGGCCCAGGGCAAGCCTCTGCTCCCAGTGGGCATGTGGCGATTGGTGTCTGACCACCGGCTTGGGTGCCAGGCAGGTTTCAGGGAAGGAGAAGAGAAGCACGCTGAAGGAACACCAGATTTCCACTTAGATCAGTTCCTGGAAAGCCATTCATCGTTTACTGGAGAGGGTTCCTTTGTGGCCCTAATGAGAGGGACAGAGCCCCCCCACCACTAGGTCTGCTTAGCAACCTGAGGCCTTTTTAGGAGAATTCTTTGTTAGAAAACAGTATTATGACAACAATATTAATGTAATTTGAAAAGTTACCTATTACTAGAACAACTCATGTTGGTGAATCTCTTCCCAGTCTTTGTCCATATTGGTCCCTGCTTAGTACTCTTACCATTCAAGGACAGGTATCAGGATTTGTCTCTCTTCCTTTGGAGCACTGTTGGTGACTGAAGCATTAAACAGCTTTTCAGCATTCCATCAGGCAGAGTGGTGGAATATATTTGCCTGGAGTGCTCCCTTTGGGTGGACAGCTAGGCGGTTGTTTACAGTCCCTGTGCCATTCTGACCCAGTGGGGACAGTTCTTGACAACACCGTGATGACCTAAGATGGCCATGGAGCTCTCTGGAGGCCACACTGCATAGCAGAATAGTGTAGGGGCTTGTTCGGCTTAAAAGGGCATAGAATCTTCATTTACAAAAGGTCAAGGGTTTCCAAAATTTTCTCTGGTGACAAGTGACTTCTGATTGTAGGCCCCTAAAAGATAGGAAAAAAAAAACCCCAACATACTTAATCGTCCATCAAGACAAAGGTGATGCTTTAACAAAGAACAAGAGAGCAACTGCTTTAACAGAGAACAGATGTTTTTAATTGTTCGCATCGTTCTGTGATTTTTATTGCCAAAAACTGTAAATTTGTCACCTATTAAAAACTCCAGTATCTGCACCCTTAACTTGGGAACCATATTTTTCTAATCTGCTTTAAAGTCCTTCTAATGGGAATTCCAGTGGATTTTTGAATTGGATTGCTGAGAATATGAGAATGCAATGATTGCCTCTGGTTACAAGAGCTGCAGGAGAAATGGAACTGTGCTAACAACGTGTGTACAGCCCTTTGCATCAGCTGTGGATGGAAGCAGAAAATGTGTCCCTTACGGCCAGCGGTGCGCATCTCCCATCTGGGTCTGCGCCTCTCTCGGAGGAGTCCTCCTGGGCCCTGACTGACGTCAGCGAATCAACTGAAGCTGGGACCGGGTCACTTTCCAATCATGGAGTCACAGAACATTCCCTGCATTTGACAAAAATGGAGGCCTAGTTGATCCTGTCGCCCTCACTAAAAACATTATAACTCATTTGATTTAGTGATTTCACAAAGGTTTGTTGATGCTTAGTAAATGGCATATTAAAATATATTTTAAAATACTGATTATTTTATCCTTGTCTCATCCATTCAAATGTTCTATTTGTGGTATTTGTTGTAGTGTCCATAGTACATTTGGTACAGTAGGACACTATGTAAGTCACAAGTAGCCATATACGTCTTGGTGGTACATGCTTACAGGTTTCTCGGGGTGTGCTGTCAGACGGGTTTGGCAAGTTGTGTTTATAAAGGCTACTGCTCTAACTCTCGGAGTACCAGGGTACCTATCGACAACTTTCTTTTCCTTGCCTGGCGAGCTGGGGAGCTCTCAGCTCAGTGTGCAGGGCGTCCTGAGCACAGAGCAGGACAGCCTTCAGGAAGTGCTTTCTCAACTGAATGAGCAAACATGCTTTCTGAATTCCTGAAGAAGATGTGATGCTTGAGATACAGCATTGCATCGGCTGCCTTCTTGGCTACCAGCTTCTTGTGTCCCCGCCTGCCTGCAGCCTCAGGCCAGTGGAGGCATTTCCACAGGTCAGAGGCAGTCAGTAGTCCTCCCGGACTGTAGGAGCCCTCATCAACCTCTCTGGGGGCAGCTGCTGTCGTGTTCCTGGTGTAGGAGCTACATGTGCTGAACCTGGTGTGTGGGCAGGAACATGGCCTGATGGCCCGGCCCCCGGAGACCCACAGACTGTCTGCGACGATTGTGGCTCCTAAGGCCAGTCCAGTTTCTCAGTGCAGCATCAGTGGGCTTGAATTGAACCCAAGAGCTCTAACCAGTGCTCTGGGGCAGGAAGCGGCCCTGCATGGAGGGAGGGGCACTGGCTTTAGAGCCCACCAGGCCTGGGTGCAGGGCAGAAGACTGGTGATCCATGTGCCCTGAGTTCGGCCTGTTTACACAGTGTACTTCTAAAAGATCACAGTGCAAAGCAGATGTCTTCTGCACCACATATACATATGGGCACGTGAACATTTGCACAGTGCATGTAAATGCTTGGCACCAGTTTCATGACAGATACATAAAGGGTGAGGGACTGACAAGTCCCATAGAACCAGTGAGACCCCTGGTCTCCGCTCCCGTCTGTCCTGGGGCTTGGGCCTCTGTGATGTCACACTCTCATACATTGCCCAGAGTATCATGTCATTGCCACCTGCCATGCTCTGTAGTAAACCAGTCATGGGTTATTCTAAGGGCCTGATTGTAAGGTAACTTACCCTAAAAAGACTCACTTTGGAGCATCCTGCTTTTGGTTTTTAGATGCCTAGGTAAACAATCTACTGTATTAACCTTGCATCTTTGAGAATATTAATCTTCCTGAGCCTTGCTTTTTTTCCATTATAAAGTGGATTTATAGTGTTTCTATGGTTTACATAACTTGATACACATAATGTTTATGCAGCATGTAAAGAACGGGTGGCATTCATGGATCCAGTCCTCTAGTTTAATCCTGCAGGGAGTTGAGCTAATCAAAGGTGGGGGTGGCCGGAGAGTGAGGGTGGAAGTCGCCACTCTCACTGTTGTGACAGAGAGTCTCTGTTGACTACTTTGGGCCCAGGGGGCTGCATTTGTCTGGAGCTCCACACCAGATGGCATCTTAGTTTTAAGATACTTATTTTGTGATGTGAGTATTTTCTAACTCTCCTGTTTTGTGTTGTAGGAACCCAGCTATTCAGTGCTCAAAGTGACTTTAGAATCACCACCTTGAAGTTTCATCCAAAAGACCACAATCTTTTTGTGTGTGGGGGCTTCAGCTCTGAAATCAAAGCTTGGGATATCAGGACTGGCAAGGTAATGTCCCTCCGCCCCGCTCAGCCTTCCCGCAGGAAAGCTTGCCTTGACTATTTGCATGATTAGGGGCAGGTCAGGATCTATATATAGAGCCCTTGAGAGGGAATAATTACCACTTAATATTTAATCAGTGATAAGCATAATTTTTAGAAGCTTTGAAAGAGCATATTTGAGTTGGTAGACTTAAAACATCATAGCTGCAATTCTGTACAGCATATTACTAAAAATATTCATTGAGCACCTACTATGTGCAAATATTTCCAGATGATATAAAATGAGTCAGTCTCAGTTTACTCAGGGAACATGTGAACATGTGTGGCTGCAGACTGGTGTGGAGGAGTGCTCTGTGTGTGTGCGTGTGTGTGTGTGTGTGTGTGTGTGTACACAAGAGGGGAGGGAGGGAGGGCACTGCATTCACTGGGTGAGTGCTTTCAGGTGGGTGCAAGGAAGGCTTTGTCACAGTAAAAGCCTGTGTGCCTTCAGTGGCCCCCAAGCCTACACGATCTCATCATGTCCAGCCCCATTGACCCTTTTGCCTTTCTAGAACACACCAGCGCATTCCTGCCCCAGGGCATTGGCACCTGTGCTGCTTTTGCCAGGAATTCGGCCAGTTTTCTATGTAGAGGCTCCCTTCCTCCGTCCACAGGATTCTCTCCAGTGAGGTCCTCCCTGACTGCCGTGAGACTACCCCTCTGCATCGCCAGTGCCCTTTGCCACCTTACTTCTGTCCATAGCATTTCTCATCACCTGGCACACGATGGACTTTTCATGTTTATTCACTTGCCTGTCTCCCTCCACTCAAACGTAAGCTCCCTAGTGCAGGATTTTTGTTTGTTTTCTTTTCTGTTGACTTGTGGTTGCTAGAACAGTGCCTGGCACATAGTAGGCCCTCAGCAAACCTTGGCTGAGTGAATGAAGGAGGAAAACAGTCATGTGTTCTGTGCAAATGCAGCAGGTGAGAAGATGAAACGTGTGTAGGGCTAGCAACCAGCTTGACTTGGCCGGATGTGGGCTCAGGCGGAGGGCAGGCCCTGCAGAGAGGCTTCCAGTGCTGTGTGTCTGGGTTTGGACTAACAGCAGGGAGGTTTGTGAGAAAGGGGTGCCAGAGTCAGGGCTGAGAAGGGGTTTGTGGAGGGGAGGGGTCATGGGGAACAGCCGTGGCCTGATTGCCTCTGGGGACTCAAAGAGGTTGGGATGGCTCTTTCGCAAGACCTGAGCAGCACTGCCCGGTTTTAAGGAGCCCCACAGCTGGCCAGTGGGGGTCCTGACGTGGTAGCTCATGATAAAACCCAGCTTGAACTGGGCTTTGAAAGAAGGGGCAGGAGAGAATGTCCTCCTCCATTTGGGATTTGGGGACTCAGTGGCCCCACTCTAGTGGGTTCTAGGCTGCTGCATGTGTAGCGCCCAAAGGGTTGCTCTCCCTACAGGCTACCTCCTCCAGAGCTGCCTGCTGCCCCAGCCTGCACAGGTGCAGCCTACAAGATGGCCCGCACTGCGCAGAGGCCGTGCCATGTGGCCAGGATGGAGGGAAGGTGAGACACTGCCTCTAAGGAGACTGGAAAGTCCGGTCGGTGCTTCAGCCTGGCCACTGTAGGAAGGCACTTCCCAACAGGCTGTTGGAAGGGGCTGCTGGCATTTCGAGAATCTAAAGCAGCGACAGTTCCTTTAAAGAGAATGGGAAATTTTACCTGTAGACATCTTGTTTAAAGTACTTCACAAGTGGGAGGATTAAAGCACAGAGAATATACTCTTTAAAAAAGTCACACATTTTTCTTTTGCAAAGAAAACTTTTTACAAAAATATTTGGAAAAGAGAGGAAAGTTGCCCATAAAGAAGTGGACTCAGAGGAATTTTAAAAATATACTAAATCCCCTATATTTGGGATATAAATACATGATAAACAGAAGGAAGCATTGGAAAGGGCTGCATGAGTTGGAAGCTCTTAGTCACAAGGTTTGGAAGTGGGGCCTCTTGATCACCCAGCCCCTGCTGAGGACCACGTCCCTGAAAGGTGTGCTTACTGTATTTAGCCTCAAAGATCAAACACATCAGAAATTACTCACCAAGGACGCCATCTGATCTAAGAGTTTGTTAAAAACACCGGATTTTCTCCTAGGGCAGACGCCAACTGACAAGCTCTGGAAATGCTGGATGTGTGTGTGTGGGGGGGCAATTAGAAGCAACTGCTGCTCTGACTAGTATTGACGTGTTGGCAAGTCTCTCCCAAGCTAATAGTGTGGGTAAAGGGATCTGTGCAGTGTTTGTTTTTGTTTCCTTTTTCCCAACAATCTGACTGCCTCTTTCCCCTGCCAGGTCACAGGGCTAATTCCGTTCGCATCAGCCGGGCTCAGAGGACAGCTCTGTTTCCTCTGACAGGTGTTGCCTGCGTGACTCCTATGGCGTCAGCAGGAGGACCAGGGAGAAAGCCACTGGCTGGCTCCCTGCTCTCCAAGCTCCCACCTGGAGTGGCTCAGCTGATCCTGCAGGCTCCGCAGGGCACGTGGCTCTGTCCCCGGTGCTGAACCCTCCCGCCTCCCCTGGCGCGTGTGTGATCATCTCGGGCTGAGCAGCTGGGCTTTTTCTTACTGCATTCAGGGGCAGCAGTTGGAAGCGGCAGGTGGAGGATGGACACAGTTCTCAGCTTAAAACCAGCTTCCCTTCTTAAATACGACAGGAGGGACTGTTTTCTTGTAAAAGTAACATGTGGCCATATGAAACAATTGGGAAATGGAGCGAAATAAAGGGAAGAGGTGGTTGAACCACCCAGCAGTAAACATTGCCCTGGCCGTAAAACTCGGACTTTCTCCATTTAGTAAATTTTAATATTTTTCTTTCATTATTCTTTTCTTGTGTGTGTGTGTGTGTGTGTGGTTTATTAAACATTGTTTGGTCTTATTTTTCTATACAGTTTTGTATTTTGCTCTTCACTTAGCAATGTAAGGGTTTTCCTTGTTAGAACAAATGCTTGTAGGATTTTCCGTGGACCCTTGGATGCAGCCCGCTTGGCTCACTGCGCTTTCCTCGCCTTCCTTATCCCCGGTACTCAGAGCAGCGTCTTACGTAGCAGGCACTTGATAAATATGGACAGAATGAGCCGTTTTCAAATGGTTTCACTTACTAAACCATTTCTGTAGGTTGGACATTTAGGATAGTTCCTTTGTTTTGGCCACTTAAAATTAATAAATGTGAAGGTGGCAATCTGGGTCAGCAAACCACAGCCTAGCGTTAAATTCAGCTTGCTGCGTGTTTTTCTAGGAGGCTTATTGGAACACAGCCATGTGTATTCATTTATGTATCACCTACAGCCGCTTTCACACCTATTGTGGCAGAGCTGAGTAGTTGCAGCCGAGTCCACATGTCCCATAAAATAAAAAATATTTATGACCTGGCTGACCACTGCTATGGACAGGTCTGGCTGTGACATCTGTCACCCTGTTGATTGTTGGGACTAATCCTTCTGATTTAGCTGATGCGGGGGTTGCCCCTCTGTTGCGCTCTGTTATGTGCGTCCTTGTGGAAACCGTGTGCTCAGAGAATGTCTTTTCTGGAGAACTGTTCTTCAGTCAGGGATGTATGAGTTGTTTCTGTCTCCTGTTATAATCTCCATACAAAGCACCCATATGCAATTATATATTCCACTGTAAGACACACATATGAACAGAACATCTAGTGTTTTCCATTTGGGGATTTATTTCCTTAAGCTTGGATCCCACAAATCAAATTGCTGGGTCAAAGTGAGTCAGCAGTTTGAAAGTAAGGGGTAGGCTTTGATGATGGAGCCGAGGCTGCTGGGCTGATGAGCCCATTCCTGGAGCGTGACTGCAGGGCCAGACAGCCTCTCGCTGGAGTCTGAGAGTAGCTGGAGCAGATAACTCTTAAGCTACTTTCTAGTCACACAATTTTATGATTCCTTAAGCTTAGCCAAATGACGGATGCTGGGATTCTGGACTTCTCCAGTCCAGCCCAATTCATTACAGCAAATGGACTGTTTGGCAACCCTTGCTTCTCTTCTTGGCAGTTTCTCAGCCTCGGGTTAGATGATTGGAGCGCACCCATCATCCCTGCAAAGGGCCTGACTTCATTTCCAGCGGGTCGGCGGATGTGTTTCACACGGGCCAGCCGAGCAGGCCTACCCGGAGCTGGCTGAGCGCCCCCAGTAGAGGGTTTTCTGACTCCTCCTCCTCTTAAAGTCTTCTTGAATGTATGTGTGGACTGGAATCCAAGACATCTGTGGTCTGACCGTCATGTTACTGTGGGGTTCCCTCTCCGGACCCCTTCCTGGCCTCCAGTGAGACTGACCTGAGCTGCAGGAGACCTGGGTGCATGTCTTTCCTCTAACACCTGCTTGGTGGGGCGATTTTAGGCCGATCTCTTAGGCCGAAGCCCCTCTGCCGGGCTTTCCCATAGGTACAGCAGAGGGGCCGGCCGGCTGTGTCTAGGCAGGGCTCAGACTCCCTTGCACACAGATGAGTTCCTGCTGGGGTACAGGTTCTGTTTCAGCAGGTCTGGGGGAGGGATGAGGTCTTAGTTCTGGCTGCATTACCAAAATACCATAGACTGGGGGGGCTTAAAGAACAGACACTCGTTTCTCACAGTTCTGGAGGCTGGGAGTCTGAGATCAGGGTGCCAGCAGGGGGTTCTGGCGAGAGCGCTCCTCCTGGCATGGAGATGCTGCCTTTTTGCTATGTCCTCTCATGATGGAGAAAGAGAGGACACTATCTTTCTCCCCTTCTAAGGACACTGATCCCGACATGGAACTCCACCCTCACAACCTCATCTAAACCTAATCACCTCCCAAAGACCCCGCTTCCAGAAACCATCACACTGGGGTTAGGACTTCCATAAGGATTTTGGGGGGCACAGGCATTCAGTCTGTTGCAGATGAGATCTTGCATTTCTAACAAACGCTCGGGGGTGCAGAGGCAGATGGTCCAGGGGCCACCCTCTGAGAAGCAGGGCCCAAGGGGCCTCTGAGAATAGGGGTACCGTGCTTGTGTGAG